TAATTGCACTATCCTCGACGATATTCTAAATAATAATTGCACTATCCTCGACGATATTCTAAATAACAAGTTATAATTTACGTCCCTTTACATTGGAGATTGCTTCCTTCCTTTAAATAGGAGAGTTTTAAAATTTCACATTTATAATGTATGTTTCATATAGTTTGCATATATGTATTATTTTTATAACATTCATGTGATAAAAGCACTTTTGATGTATGATCTCATGTAGCTTTATTATACGGACACGAATTGTCCTGAAAAAGAATGTTTTCTGTGTTAATTTTGTCTATGACTGATTTAATAAAAATCTGCATGTTCGAATTAGTTCACTAAACACTTTGTAAGAGATACTTGCGAAACTGTGGCATTTATAATATGTATAGATTCATAAGTATATATGTACATGTCTGCTTATTTTTAGTTCTGCAGAGCTACGTGATTATCCTAGTGAGAAGCGAAGTACTAAATTTGGAGAAGATCGCGAGAAGGAAAAACGTGGAGCCACCATTTCCTGAAGACGGACTCGTGGATATTCCTGATAGAGAACTTCTTATATAAAAACTGATTGCTGGTACGTCTATTATAAATAAGTTCATCTAGGAGCGTGTTTTTCTTTGTAATTATTTTAATTATTTGCTTAGTAATTATATATACGGTATATTAAATATTTTTAATTTTTTCACTTACGAGTATAGAAGTGACATTGTTGTTCGTGTAAATAATGATTAACGGTTTTATATATTGACGAGTACAAGACTTGAGAATGAGTGTATCCGCAAAAGAATCCACCGTGTAGGCATAATTCAGACGAATGATTGATATGGGAGCTTCCTTTTCCCTTTGAGACAGCGAAAGACACGCAACAGTTGCAGAATACTGCTTGAATCTACTTAATATAATAATCCAATGTAAAAATTACGCTAATTATGATGAAATTACTTATTTCTGTATAAAATCAATGGCATTTTGGTGGTATTCAAAGATGCCGCGGGCGCACGATTATGGTACAGTAATGACTTGGAATTATTAAAAAAATTTTAAAATATCATTTCTCATTTCCAAGGACCGGGTGCACAGGTGGACGCCCGCGGGATAGTCGGTCGTGACTTACTCTCCACAGCCCATTGTCTGGAGCGTTCATTGAAATAATATGGGGCAATGTTAAGTGGACGCGGCAGACGTTTTGTTGCAAATTGGCGATTTTGCAATCTACTCCGATATTTGGCAACGCAAGATGGTCCGTTTGGACGATTCACAGAAACTTCCTACGTCTCACGACACCATTATCGTTCGTTTGTTTTTGCAGTCGTTGATTTAATTAAGTTCGAAATCATGATACTGCAATGTGTCGCGCTTTTTTATTCTTTTAACCACATCTCCATTTAAACATGTGTTTCATGATCTAATTAATTGTTTTTTGAAACAACCATGTAGGTATTCCGCAGAGGGAGCCGAGGGCGTTTCTAGTAAGGTAATAATTTCGGTCGTATCATTACTATAATTTGCTATGTATTTATTACAAGTTATTCACGAATGGGCGGCAGCTGGCATTCGGCTGAGAAAAGCCTGAAAAGCCGCAAACTGTCTGCACAGACGCACGACTGCTCGACAATTGTGTGCTTGAAGGACGAAGCGATCTTATCTGTTATAAGTCTTTTATAAGCCATTTTTATCGTGCATTAATTCCAGACGTGCTTTCAAAATATAAATATATAAGTAATTAATTATATAAGTACCAGCCCAATAGACACCTGAGGCATTTTGTATTAAACGTTAAAGGGTTTTGTTTTATTATAAATTCCAACAGTCTATCGATTTTATCATTAGTTAATTTCATATACAACGTATTCAGCATTTATCTCTAAAGAAGTAAATCTAAAGTAAAATATGAAATTCTAGCGACAAATCAGAGTGCTTCTAGTTAGGTAATGTTGCATAAAAATTAAGACCATTTTGCTCTTCATATTAATTAACCAAATTACTTAATGGCGACAATTAAGAGTCGCGAATATTCTACGACAAATGGCGTCAGGCGGCCATTTTTTTTTAAATCTAGGAACTGGAACTTTCGCCTGGGACGGATTAAGGTAATAAGATACTATGTGATTACTCTAACCGCAAGATAAGGTATTTTCCGTTAATTTGATGTCACTAAAGTTCGTTAGAAAACACTTGAAAGCTCACTTTATTTTTATTCGTATCAATTGGGCTAATTTTAAAAAATGGTTATAAAAAATAACTATTTTGGTTTGATTCATATCTTTGAAGAATTGAAATGAAAATTATGTGGTATAGATCTAGTTATTTATCACTTTATGATAAGAATTTGAACTTAGATGAAAGTATGTATATATGAGTAGCTCGAGTTCTCTACGTTTTGGTTCAAAATATGACCATATTCATAAGTTTCTAGATTTTCACGGTAATAAATATCACCAAAATAATATATATATATATATTATTAGTTGTTGTTTTGGTGAGGATCTAATACGATATTTATTGGCGTAGATTTGTTTATAATGGATTGAACTGAAAGGTCAGTGTCATATGTATAAAACTTTAAACATACATCCTTATGTGCTCGTGAAGCTAAAGTTAAAACTAAGAACTGGCTATTAACTTTAGACTACCAATAAAAGTGAAGCGTTATTGTAGCAACTGAGAAAAAATATGGTATTTGTAGGTAATAACAATAAAATAAACCCAAAACCACTAACGAGCGAATGTTTAATGTCACACAATGTTTGGTATAAACACACACACACACACTCACTCACTCACTCGCTCATAGACACACGCATATAATGTGTATTTCATATTTAATCATCCCTTCTTGCCCGTGGACCACCTCTCTGGTCCACCTGGGTAGACCACGAATAATATTGTTAAGAAATAGCTGTGTAGCGAATCGCTGCAAATCTTTTTGTATATATTTTATAATAGTCTTTTTTAAGCTTAGTTTTACATTTAAATTCTAAATTTAAATATGTTTGTTTTTGGCGCCTTTTTCTCGACTTGCTAGTGTTTATTTGCTGTTTTGCTGTGATAACGACAACGTATTTTCCAAAAATATTAATAAACTGTAAGTACATTCTCTTGGCCTTGCTCACTCGTTGTTGGCACCCCATCCCTTCACCCATTGATACAGTCCGCTTTATGTTGTGTCAAATGTTTGAGAGAGGAGACTGACTCCTGTAACACAGGTTATACGAGTATATACTTAGTTCAGGTGTCAGGGACTTTATTACTATGTTGTAACAACAAACATTATTATTATTGTATGTTGTCATGTGTATAATAAGTTTATTGAGCGGAAAGGTGTTTCTAACTGACTCCCTGTAAGAAATAAGGAATGGAGTCCTGAGCGAAATGCACTTATTAGCTGGCAAGGGCTGTCGAGAACTCAGCCTAATGGTTGCCATTCACGGGGCTGAATGGCGACGCGAAATTGCCAACAATTATATACTCGCGCAATGATAACCGGTGGATGCTCTAATAGCCGAGGCAAACTCCGGTGGAGACGATATAGATATACAGATGTTTCTTCTTTTCAAGGGTAAGGTGGGAATTCTGGGACAATTCGAGGAAGGTTTGTTTTATTTTTGTAGAGTAAAAACTGGCAAATGGTCAGATGTAAAGGGGTTACCGTCGCCTGTAGACATTTACGGTTGGAATATTGCAAATGCGTTTGCGACTGTGAGACGTAAGATCCCATGTCCTCAACTGGGATCGCAGTAGTGCTGCTCTACGGTCAAAATAGATATTGCGGTGGTACTAGGTCTGGATTGTTTGGCGTACTATTGACGCCTGTACTTACACTAGGACCTGGCTCAATCTTCACTACTTTTTTGGTTAAAAGATTTCCATAGAAGCGGTAACACTAGTAAATTGTATACAATTCGTGCACATTAAATGAATAAAAAAATAAAAACGAAACAAAAAGAAAATTGTTTATAGAATGACTTATTGTACATAGGATTAACTAAAGACTAATTATGCGAATCAATGTAAATTATAACACATATACCTGAACTGGGAGAATCCTGCATTTCAGGTAAAAAGTACTACAGGTGTACTAAATTATAAACAAAAAAACATAATTAAACAATAAAATGCAAATCATATATATACCTATGCGCTTAAATTAGACAACATTTATTTTGGAATTATTGATAAATTCTCTGTACCATCGTAAGACATATTTTGAAAGAATTCTTGGACAATTTTCTTAACCTTTATGTAAAAAAAATGACATATGGCATATGGCCAATTCGGCGTTTAATTTATTGTACAAAAATGGTCCAAGAAACAAAAAATCTGGAAATAAACACATATTTTGATGATACAATTTTGGGGCAGACGATATCTTTCCGTCTTTTGTTAGTGTTTTCAGTACTATATGGGAGTGCAACGTGCTGTATAAGGACTGTCGACTTGATAAATAATTGTCTTACAGTTAGTACTATAATAGAGGGCTGTAACTCAGATGCATTGCGAGAGGTACTTTTAATAATATAAAACTGGGATTGACTTAAACTTTGGTTTATTTTACCATTTTTTACATATTTTTTAGTATTGCGTTACAAATCAATAATCTTAATATAATATGTCAAGACCTTCTATTTTCTTAACATTCTTTTTCAAAGAATTCTAAATACAAACTAACTCCTTCAGCCAGCAATTCTACTCATAGAGTACGGCCTAGTCTACATCCCTCTTCCTCACAGCTGAAGGGGCGAATATCCCTAGCTGATGGTCTACCTATGATAGGCAACTTACATCTGCGATCAGCCTTTACTACAGGCTAGCCACACACTGCTCGGAAGTCACTAACTTACCAACAAGTAAACCACCGAGGAGGCTATGGCTTTGGTCTGCCAAAAACCTATCTAAAAGGACAGACCATGATCACATCCTAAACAAACAAATCAAAATATTTTCACTAGTTAGCTATCCTATCTAATTAGGGAACCTGACTAAACCCTAACACTTTATTTTAGCGACCCTAAACTGGCTGAACGATCCTAATAAAAATTCTAAACATCACTACAAGTTCCTAACTATCTCAGCCTAAGCTATCTCCAACGTGGATGCTGCCACAACGACGACACAGGCTTGAACATCCATCGGACGATCACTGGGTTACATCACTATTGATCTCCCAGCTGCCTTAGTCCTCATTTTGCAGCTATCACGTTCCATCAGCTTCACTTATCATCCTTAAACAACAAGAACCAACCCACGTATAACGTCAACAACATATTCTAACTACATGTCCTCAGACATACATATGGTATGAGGGTATACCACATGAAGAATTTCTAATAATTAAATAAATATATTTTCCCAGAATGCAGACAGTCCTTGATCAACTGGAGGGATGAGCAGGAACTATTCGCACATACAGGATAATATATCTATCAAATTAAAAAAATATATACATAAGAAAAACAGAAGTAAATGTTATCTATTTGATGGTGTATCCTCTCCTCCCTTCCTTCCAAGTCTGCATGTACAGGAAAATATCAATTTTTCTCCAAATATTTCTCATAAGGTCGATATCATTCCACATGAAAAATAAATATAAAAATTAATTAACCTAGTAGAAACAAACACATTAAATTCCCTCATATAGAACTTTTTCATCCTATTCACATGGAGTAGATTCTGCCTACACAACCTTTTCCTATTCATACCTAATCTGCACATAATACAATTAATCCTACTCAACCAATTCACTACCCTAACCTTCGCGTATCATATCTCTTAGATAAAGCAATCCTGTCTTTCTTGTCAAATAACCGCTTCTGCTTTAATTGTAAATCATCTACATATTCTTTACGAGAACTCATCGAAGCTGCTCGTTTTACGTAGTCACTTCGCAGATTCGCCACATTACTTACGCGAACACGATTAGAAATGTCGCTTTCCGAATTGTATTTTATATATATTTTCGGCAAAGCATTTTTATAATTAATTATATCTAAATCACATTGTTGACGCAATTGACACGTCTTATCACTCACGTCAACATTACTCGTCATTTCTGGCAAAACCGAGAAGCTATCTAAACTTTTTGATATCGGTTTCAAAGGAGACTTTTCTTTCTTTGGTCCAATATCTGTCATGGACTTAGAAAAAGAAATTTTATTGTCAACTTCCACTTTTGACAACTCGTAATTACACTTTTCCAAAACATCTCGTCCCAGAATTAAATATTCTTTAAAATCGTCTACAACCAGCAACTTCGAAGGATAATCCTTCCCATTAATCATCAACGACACCTTGGTGGACGACTGCACATTTATTGGCGTTGCACCCACTGTACGTAATGGAAAACTTGGATTATCATCGATACGCAATTGCAACCTTTCCGCAAAATACCGAGAAATTACTGAAACTGAAGCATTAGTATCCACCAACGCCTCGCAACTCACATCATTAATAAAAACAGATATAAAAGGTGCCCTATCTACGCTAGACCTATCAAATGTAGACAAATTTTCTACATGTTCAGTTGCGCTTTTCTGACAATCACGTTGAGGAGATCCCGACGAAGATCCACTACTATGTGCTCGTGAATACCCTTGACTTGGCGTATCCTGCTGCACAACTGGTGCCTGTGGCACTAAATCTTCCGACTGCTTAGACTCGGGTCTAATTATCGGTGCAGAGACATCCTGTGTTTGCCAACAGTGAGAATGCTCTATTTGACAATTTACTGGCAATACAATATCTTCTCGACTCACACTATAACTGTGATTAAATACGTCATCTACTTGTATAATTGTTTTTCTCAACTCCTCTTTAGATAGATACAAATTACTTGCCAGCATCCATTTAAAATTGGGTATCAAAGACTTCAAAAAATGCTTAATAAACTGAACATCTTGAATATTCGCTTTCCTCGCTAACTCATCTAAACTATAAAAATAACTTATAAGCGATTCACTATGCCCCTGTCGCCTATAATAAAATTCTCGGGCGTAATCAATTTGTGAGGGAAATTCCTCTCTCAACCTCTGTGCAATCACATCATACGACACGTATGAAGAAGAATACGTTTTGTACCATTGCAGAGCTGGCCCCTCCAAATACAATGCAAACACGTATCTCTTCTGCACATCAGACCAATTATTTAATATACTAATGGTCTCAAATTGGTTCAAAAACTCATCTACGTCGTTGAACCCATTAAACCTTCTATTTTCTTAACATTCTTTTTCAAAGA